ATCCGGGCCTAATCCTCAGATAGAGATTTCTCCATCCAAGTGATTGAAATTGATAGAGAGTTTTCCTCATTTTCAGAGTTTTCTGATTTGCGCTGGGAACATGGTTGCGAAGTTTGCAAGTGGTGGCACGAGTATCGTCGATCCGTGTTCTTCTCATGTCGACGAGAGGAAGAATGGGTTTGTCACGCAACTGTTTCTCGAATGTGCGGAACGCATGCTTTCCTGTAGCCATCTTCATGGTGAAGGAATAGGTGAGGGTAGCTGAAAGCTATTGTGTTTGTTAACAAAATGCACTACCAAAGCTAGTGTAAAGATCTTTCGAGTGTTTTGAGTTTGAGAGAATGAAAGTTATGAGAGAATAGAAAGCTATGAAAACTAATCAACGAGAGAGACATCATCAAGGGATCGTAGATCTGGCTTCCCCGGGAGACTATAAAGTGTGATAGAGTAGGTTGTGGTAGTAAGCCTACGTCTCTCCACGATCCTAAACGGAACGCGTGGAAGGTCTGTCTAGCCTGGATCTAGTAGCGTGGAAGTACTCCACGCTGGCTAAATATCTAGAGCGATGTTTCATCATCAACCTAGTATGACTAGAGCGGTCATTGAGAACCCTGTCTCAGATGACTATTCACGAGAGACTCAGTCATGAGTCGAACTCAAACCCTATCTAGGATCGAGTCGCGAATAAGGCTAAGAGCCGTATTGCACATTGGTTGAAATCGACTGGTTATGGGTTTATTCCGAAAAGGAAAAGACAGGAAGTGACAACGCCGGACAAGACAACGGACAAGACAATGAGGAGCTTGTGGAGGACATCACTACTGAAATGATGGAAGAACTTGAGTTTTACTCTAAGGAAGAGGAGAAGGCTGCGGAAGATGAGAGAAAAAGGGCTGCGGCATCCTAGGGTGTGCACAGGGAACTGCATGGGGTGGAAGCAAACTACACACAAGTCTTGCACTGCATGTTGGGGCCTAGATAATAACCACTGGTTCAACCAGTGGTTATCGGTTAATCAACCTATAAATAACCAATAACCAGTGGTTGATCAACCAATAACCAGTAACCAATACCCTAGATTGACTGGTTGAACAACCATTAACCAATAACCAATTCCCTAGCTTGACTGGTTGAACAACCATTAACCAATAACCAGAACCCTAGTGACTGGTTAGCGAACCCACCGTGGGACAGGCCTGTCCCACCGTGGGACAGGCGTTTTATGCATACCAGAACCCTAGCCCTACCGTATCGCACGTCGGGAAATTTGTCAGGATGCGTCAGCGGCACAAACCTCAAATTGGCACGCAATGGCAACAATTGAGCAACAAGATACATGCAGAGCAAAAGATCTGTTGCCGCTCCAAGAATAGCAGAGCTTCAACAACCATTGCCAGCAACTGGTATTAGATCTGTCTGTGCTGTGCTTCAGTACCAGCTTTCTCTTGGCTAGCTAGAATGGTATTAGCGGCACTCCTTCTGTGTTTTGTTTGCTGTCGGGGATCTTGGGGATTTCACGGATTGGTATACCCTCGGAATGTTGGTCCGAGCAGAAGCTCTGTTCCTCCTGCATATCGTCATCAGAGACGGTTGGGTGAAATCAGAATAGGCAGCTCGTTGCTGTGGTCCAGTCAGGAGAGCAGTCCGTTGGATGCTTCCTCCTCGAATAAGAAAAATGAGACCTTGCCGTTGTTTTCTCAGTTGATTGCGTCTCTCGGTGATGGTAATAACGGCGGTAGCAGCCAACCAGATGCAGACACGAGTAGCAGCGCCGTCAATATCACTACCCCGGTGAGCCCTGAACAAGAAAAACTGTTGGCAGAAGCGGAAGAATTGCGGCAACGAGCTAGGAAACTAAAGGCAGAAGCCCTGGCGGAGGAAGCCGCATTAAAGGACACTCGATCCAATCAGCAGTCAGCCAGAATACGAGACGGCGATTTTCTCATGCATCGGCTATTTCAAGACATGGAAAGTGCAGCAGAAGCAAATAATAAGAATAATGACCAGGCAAACAACAATGGCACCACGTCAATATCCATGCTGGAAGAAGAGCAAAAGATTGCCAATATACTTCGAGAGGAGCGGTGGTCACCCGATCAAGTCTTATTAGTGTTGGAGAGACTGGTGGAGCAGCAAATACAACACCAGGATAGCCGACCAATTCTCACACCCAGTCAGTCGGCAGTCATTTCCAACAATCCAAACTTTCAAATCGGAGACACTCGGAATGCAGCCATTGTGGCCAATGAAACCAAATGGCAAGTCCTGGAGGGATGGATTGCCTGCTTGATCAATGCTGCAGCCATGTTGGATGATGAGTTCAATGACAAAAACAGCAACAATAACAAAGACAACAGCAACAAGAGTCAACAATCATCATCTAGTGGAGAGAAAGAAGAAAGAGCAAAGACAACACAAGCGTACAATTCACGATGGACGGGCCGTGTTGCCACTACTTTGAGAAGTCGTCGCAAGGAACTCATGCGAGCCCAAGAAGAGGAATTGAAACGAAGAATAGCTGCCAATGTCAATGCAGTTTTCCGTGCGACTAGTAAGAGTCTCTCAGAAGCTGCCGCCGCCGCTCGGTCCCCAACAGGAGCGACGCCGGTACCAGATGATATTCAGGAATATACAAGACAAACTTTGGGTTTGCCACCCCCGTCGAGTGGCGGTGGCGGTGGACCAAGCTTGAATACCACTGCTGTTATGGAAAGTGTGCAGCCAGTACCCCTGTGGGTTCCGTCCTCCCTTTTGCCGTACCTGGTACAGTCCAAGGCCACGTTGGTCAAGGAAGATGTTACTACTATTAAAGAGAGGGTACTCATTGGAAGTCGCTTCTTTTGCACCTCCTCGGATGCAATTCCTTCCGCCGCTGTGTTTCGGGGAAACATTCGTACTCCTGTCGGCTTGGTGGACTCGGACGCATCGGACGGTACCAGCTCCAGCAACGTTGTGAGCAATCACACGGCGGTTGTATTTCAAGAGGTTCAACAGCGGCTGGAAACAGAAGGACTCGCGGGAAGGGTGCAGTTGTTCATGATGGAAGACTCCGAGTGGCGACCAGGTAAAGACGCACGAGTTTCAAAACCGAATCCTGTCATTTTGGCCATTTCCAAGAGGGTGGAACCTGTGGAGAGTGCAATGGAAAAAGTGACCACATCCAAGATTGCAAAGGTGAGACAACAAGTTCTTGGCGTATCGTAGTTTCAAGACGACGAATGAAGCGCATCTTGGATGTTGTCTTCTTGCGCGATCCACTCAGGCCGAGAGTCTCCACTAACTCGTTTGTCCTTGTTTCTGTTTCTTGCAGAGGATTGCTGTGGCTTTGTCGATGCTTGCAACTTTCTCTTTTTCAGTTTCGTCGTATGCCCTGAACCCCACCTTCTTTGACGCAGTTGTGAATCAGAAAAGCGTCCCAGCACTACTTTCCTGCATCCCTCTTTGCATCGGCATTCTCTCTGTTCAACTCTTCCATGAAGCAGCTCACTACTTGGTTGCCAAACTCCGAAAGATTAAGATTGGGCGTCCAACTCTGCTTCCAAGCCCACAGGTTGGCACTTTTGGATGCATCACGCCCATCTTGTCGTTTCCGACCAATCGATCCGCTCTCTTTGATTTGGCCTTTAGTGGCCCTGTCTCGGGAATGTTGATTTCCTTCCTGATGATGTGGGGTGGAATGTACGCAACAACTCACGCTTCAGAAGTTGCCATGTCGAGTTTTCCAGTCTTGCCGATTGGTTTACTGAAATCTAGCCTGCTGACAACCATTTTTGTTTCGGTGACGGCCCCCAAACTGGTCATGTTGCCCATGGCACAACCGATACCTCTCCATCCCCTGTTTATCTCGGGATTCTGTGGGTTGGTTTCATCCGCATTGAACCTTCTTCCTGTCTTTCGGTTAGACGGAGGCCGGTTGATATCATCCTTGTTCGGTCCTCGATTTGCGGGTGTTTCCTCCGCAGCAACGCTAATGTTTATGCTCTCATTGACAATCTCGGGCACATCAGGAATTGCTTTGACATGGGGACTTCTCATCGTCTTTCTACAACGGCGAACAGAGGTTCCTGTACGGGATGATGTCACGATGGTCGATGACGTTCGATTTGGGGCATGGATCGCTGCCACGACTGCAGCAATCCTAACGCTGGCGCCATTTCCTGGGGGCCCAGGATTCCTGTGACCACTGTAACACTGCTAGCTACGTCAAAACACTAAACTAGAGTTGTCCCATTGTACAGAATCATCAGAAGAAGTTCTTCAAAACCATCATTCATCTTCCACTTCTCCATTTTCTACAAAGAGTCCCTTTTGGTTGATGCTAGCAGTATCGATCAGCCAAACACCGTGTATTTTTCTCAGTTGGAACTGCACGAGAATGGGTTCTAAGCCTTCGCCGAAGTACAGTGCTGCATTCACGAAAGCTACAGTGCTTGGGACTCCGATTTCGATACCATCATCGCGCTGCATGGAATAGGCACCCTCTGTTACATCCAAGCGTTCCCAATCCAACAGACAAGAGAAGGGCGAAGCTCGGAGCCTCCGACCCAACATAGCTGGTGTGATGGCCCCACGAAGGACTTCTTTCCAGCCTGACGGACCTGACGAGGCATCTCGAGATGAAAGCGAGGAGGACGAATCACCCCATCTTCATTCAGTTTCCACAGGAAAGCAAACCGGTGAGTCCCATACATGGCAAGTACCTGGTAAAACCGCAACATAGTTTTGTAATTGTAAGTGCAACACAGTTTGCAGGATCGCCTACCTTTCAAACCGGGTCAGCGGAACCAAAAATCTTTGAAGGATGGCTGCGCCATGGAACTTCTCGGGTTCATCTAGTTTACGAAGAGATTGCAAGGCTGCTTCTACAGTGGCTTGGGGTTTCAACCCAGGGTGAGGAGCAGGAGCATCATCCGCAAACTCGCCATCATACTCTCCCCGCAGAAAAGAATCAATCGAGAAATCTAGCAACATTTGTTCCTCAGCCTTCATGTCTTTGGCGCTGCCGACAGAGCCATCCTCAAACTCTTTGCCCAATTCTCCAGAATCACTTTCCACAAACTCATCGTCCAGGTAGTATTCCTCACTTTCCAAGTCATCTTCATAATCCTCCAACGGAGTGCGAGCAGATGCCGATCTGGAGCTAACCTGGGCTTGCGAGTTTGACACAAAAGTATAAGCCGCACAGGCGAAGGGTATCGGGTGCCTCGATTTGCTAAACTGTCGCGCTCGTGCCCTATCGCGACTCCTTCCCAAGATTGGAACCATTGCATTGTCCTTTACCAGACGAGACACCACAAATGATGCCTCGATCTCTTCAATCCATGTTGCGGCCAGGAATACAAGCAGCCGCCGCCGTCTCATCGTCTTCGTTTCCATGATTGCTGACTCCCTCAATACACATACATCGTCGGTGTTGGGTTGCAGTACATGTATTGGTAGGAGTTTTTGAAGCCAGCTGACCTGTAATTCTACAGGACTGAGTCACTCGTCAATCGAGGACTGTTTGATTCTGAAAAGCCGGCTCAGCAGCTTTACCACCCACATCAGGAACGTTCGGCAACCAAGGTTTTACGGGTGTTACCGATAGTGCATGTTTCGTACCAAAGGCAACATACAGCCAAAGAAGCGGGCGCCGATTGAAACATTCACTCCTGAATTGTTTCTAGCAGTACTACTGCACAATCAAGTTAACAGTAGAAGAAGAAGATAGCTAGAGAATAGATTGCCAATTCTGAACAAACCGCTGGTATTGATAGTGTAACCAATCTCATGCTGTACCTCTTTCAGGTGTTCAGACACGACTTTCATACAGTCAGCGCCTGGAATCGAGATATGTGCATTGAAAGGAAGTCACAAGTAGCTGCAGTAGATCTGGATGGAGCGTCGAAGCGTCGAAGCCTACGCGTGCCTGGCGCCGTCATGCAGAATACTTGACCTCTCTCCCACCTACCGGTACTGGTACCACCTTCTTAGTATACCGGTAGCCGCCGGTAGCAGCTCTCATCCGGCTATGCATAGACATCCCTCCCTTTCCTTCGCATTTCCCTTCTGCTTGCTTGTTACGTAGGAGTCAGGCTGCGAGAATGGGAAGCTCAAAGTCAGAGCTACTACAGACCCAGCAGCTATACTTTACAAACGGAGACCATGGCTATAAAGAGTAGGTTCATAACCAAGTACTTTTGCCAGAATCTGCAAAGTGGGAAGTGCACAAGAAAGTCCATGTACATGTAATGACATATGACATGCTTGCCTAAAGCTTAAAAGCTGCTATCTACCTAATTGTTGCCGATTTCCTCTTCATCTTCTGTATCCAATTCGTCCACGGTTTCTGCTTTTCAAAGCCAGCAAACAATGACATGGTGAACAATAGAATTGCTTGCAAAGCATCTAGTACAATACCAAGGAGGGACCACTACAGTGAGCTGTATGGGTGGGTAGTGGTAGGAAATGTCCCTGTATGAGGTGGAGTTAGGTCAGATTTAATGGCCCATTTTAAAGATTTATAAGAATGCCTTAAAGTTTTTTATGTAGATGCGGAAATAGAAAACCGGATACCTTAAAGTTTAAATGTAGACTATGCATGGAAATCCCGATTGACTTTAAAGTGGGAAGTTGGGAAAAAACTTTAAAGTAGAATTGCTAGGTCTGTAGTACTTGCTAGCTAGCTAGTATACAAAAGTCAGACTGCGAGAATGGGAAGAGCTCAACACACTGCGGATGGAAGGTGAAGTAAAAAGCGGCAACCAGAGTAAAGAGTAGTGCAAGTGCTCTACATATGTAATATATATGTAGTGGTCCGCAAGAGTAAATTTCGAAACTGAACAGTTGCCGTTCTACTTATGAAGTTGAGGATGAAGAGGCCTTGGTGCGGTACCGGTACTTTAAACCTTGGTGCTCCAAAGCTTGCTCCAATAGCTCTCCAATCGAGAACTCATCTCAGTAGGTTCGCAGATTGCATTGCAAGATCGCAAGCGCGTGGAGCACGGCGCATCGGAAGGAGCTGGAAACCTGGAACGTCGCACTTCGGAGATTTTCCGGACAGCAAAAGAAACACGGCCTGTAACAGCTTCTCTAATGCCTTATCTTTTTAAAACTTCTTTCTCTGGACTGGCTTCTTCTTCTTGAGTGTTCATGCTTTCTGACTTGTGGAAGAAAGGTCATTAGGGTATTGTCCATGTACAGAGTTTGGTACTGTGTGGCTGTATGGTACCGGTTTTGAATCTTGTGTGTTTACTGGCACTAGTATCCATCGTCCCTGCGTGACTGCGTGTTGATCGATACCGGTAGCGGGGCTTGTTGACCTTCACCTCCATCAGCCTCCAACCGATAGAAAGATACATGTATGTACTTTTAGCTAGTAGAAGTCTAGATAGACAAGGCTTAGGCGAAGAGATTGTCAATATCACCTGCAAGAACATCAGGTGGCAATGGTACGGGTTCAAAAGGATCGTCGTCCCTCACTGCATTTTCGTTGAAGCCAAGGACAGCGGCCAAACGAAGTGTTAAGTTTTGATCTCCCATGTTGCTCTGTTGTGTGCTGCTTGTAGAGTTCAGAATACCCACGTTAGGTGTGTCTTGGAATGCTTGTTGGAGATCATTGAAAGGAAGCATTGAATGTGTCGTTCCTGAGTCTAGTGCGCTATTTGTGACGTCAAAGCTGTTGCCCACATCGAATGCCCGCTGCATGTAGTCGGCAAAGGAGTTGTCGTAGGTGGTCCGGTCGGTATCAACATCCTGGAAGCTGTTCAGTGACACGGGGAAAGGGCTTATGGAGATCCTACCGACTGGGGCTGTCGCAACGGGTGCCATGGTGGAGGTGTGGGAAAGATTTGCCTCCGATAGTTGCAAGATACCCTTGCGCTGGACATCCTCGCGAAGCTCATTGCTGGGGCTGCTGGTGTCTTTCTTTTCTGGCTTTGTTTGGTCGAGCATAGACTGTTGCTGGCAGATAATCTCATAGAGGCTTTTGTCGGTTTCTAAAATAGCATGAGCAAATCAATGAAGATAAGAAAACTTGCTTCCACAGAGAAAGTCTCAAGTTCTTGCGGAAAATGACTTACGACCACTTCGCAACTGCTCCATTGCAATTCGTTGCATTTCGGAATTGATTTCAGCAGACCTTGCTTGTTCTTCAATTCGCCTTTGTCTCTTTGTTTTGTTGCTGCTTCGATACGAGTCACTGAGGACATCCCGGAATGATTGGGATACCTTTTCTCTGTGATACAGAACAGGCATGTTCACAATGAGATTGTATCTCAAGGCACACAATAGCAAGCACCAAAAGGCACAACCGAATAAGCTTACCTTGCCAAGAAATCTCCCACCTCTGACCAACGGCCTGTCTTGGGGTCCTTGCGGATGAAGCCTCCGATCGGGGAACGAGTTCGAACCTCTGCAACGATAGTAGACAAAATGGTGCTCTTGTCTAGCTTGGTCCTTGCCTTTTTGTACTCCTCCACCCTGCTCTCCACAAGGTGCCTGAACCGGATGTTTCCAATTGAGTTCCAAATGTTCCTGCCCCTACCACAGATGACATCATGCTCACCAGGCTTGAAATCCTCAGGGAGAAGTGTCATCTCCTTTGAAATCTTCGTGCCCCCACCGCTGGCATCACCATGGCCATCGCGACGTGGCAAGCTCGCGGTTTGGTTGGTAGCTGTCTCTACCAATCTCTGATCATTGTTCCAACCAATCATATCTGAAATGGGCATAGACTTGAATTGCGCAGGGTTCATAACGTGTTGTTAGCTTTGTTTGTGTTGGTTTGTAGTTCAGTTTGTCTTCGATTTTGTGACAACTCCCATGGCTCTTTTCCTCTTCGATTCGCAATCTTCGCATTTGGCTGCTTGAGTAGGAAGGGGTCATGGCTCCGGAGCTAAAGCAACTTGACCGCAGCATGGTGGCGGGCTGTTAGGGTTATTTACCGACCCTTTTAGGGCTGTGCAACACTGTAGACCCAGCAGCTTCCCACTCATGCACAGATAAATAGGTGGACTTAACAGAGCTTTTACTGAGGAACATAGTGTTACTTAAAGGTCGGAACTCATACCAAGTAGTAGTGAACACGTAACCCTTGCTATTAAGATATATCTAAGTTCAGCTGAACCGTGAAGGCATCTTAGCAAAAACTCAAATATCTGCACTGGGAATCTTCTTAGCATTTTGTCAAAATTCAGGGTCCAAAGGCAACATCTTAGCTTTCTTGCCATTTCTATTGACCATACTAGTAGTATGGTACATACCAACTTTGCTACTCTGCTTCCCACCTTACTGAACATATGGCATACCCTTAGGAGAGGAAAGAGCAGTGTATCATCCACCGGAGGCGAAATTTTTGACTTTTGGCACCTGTTTTTAAGGCATTTGTTGTAGAAAAGCGTGATTGTATTGTCTCTCAATCTCTTATGTGCCCAAGGGAGAGTGCTTACTAGTACTGGCAATCTTAAATCTAGTGCAGATCTTTAGAAGTGGTCTCAAGTATCTTGTTGAAAAACATTCCAGCAAATCTCAGTACTCAACATCTATCTTATCCCTGAATTGCTCAATATCAAGGGAGGAGTGTTATGTAGCGAGAAACTCTAGGCCTTGAACTGCTCCTTACCCATATCTCGTTTACGGCAGCATTTTGGAGCTGGATGATCGGTAAGAACCTGAGTCAAAAGCGCTGGTTCGTTGTTGCACCGAAAACGCTGCCCAGGATGAATTCAAGCAGCTACTCAAAGCGCACTCCAAGCTCGAAGGACTCGACTCTCAAAGATGAGCTCTCAAAGTTCCATTCAAATTGGTCTTTACAGTACTGAGTACAGTGCGTTACGCGTTACGAGTAAGGGAGAGTACAATCTACATAAGAAACTGACCGTAATTGTGCAGTCGCAGTTCAAGTGCATTGGCAGTTGGCTGTCATCAGATTCTATCTTATCTAAAGGGGCTACTTTTTGGCAGAAAGCCTTCATTGTTCCTTAGAGGGCGTCGCAACCCAATAATGGCCTAAGAGCGCATGGAAACTAGGCTAAAAACAACAGCCAAAAGACCACGTTAATTAATTGGAGAGAGCGAGAGAGCTCGCTGTGATTTCACCAAAGCACCATCGAAGCATCTGGAAGTCTTGCTTTGGTACTGTAGCGAAAGAGGATTTAGATCCCACTGCCACTGGTTGGTCAGACACGGTGGTGAAGAGGACTGTTGACACAAGAGCCCTCCAGTCATTAGCTTCTCATGCCACGTACCGGTATGAGCTACCGGTAGCTAGCTAGTAGGGTATGCAAGGTACCACCAACCGAAACTTTGGTTCCCAGGCTGCACTCTGCAAGCCATTGCTACAAGAATAGCAATATCGCTACATCGCTACATAGCCGAGCTCATAGCTGCTACATTCAAATCATTTCAATCCGCAGAGGGATGTGTGACCAAATGCGTCATAGGACTTAGTTGCTGATATCCTGTAGATGCAGAGCTGGAAAGGTGTTCAGGATGGGGGATCACTCTAATACTAATGTGAGTTTGCCTGAGTTTGCCCGGGGACCAACCAGCGGGGCCGGGCCATTCGGCTAACTCACCTGCGCAAGTCACCCCACGAAGAGGGCCCAAGAAAAGAAAGCAAGACAGTCCAGAGGAGCCCTACTCACGCCTACTCGAGTACACATTGTATTGCGTCGAGGTGTCCAGGTGGCGGCAAGCGACCGAAATTGCCCTGGCTGAACTCCACGGCTGAAGATTTGGTTGATGCAACGGTATGTTGGTTTGCTGCTCCTTTCTAGTAGGACCTTTGTCAGATGCTCTAATCGCATTCACGTCGTTTCACTTGAAGATAAAAGGCTGCCTGCTAGGAAGTCTAAGCCATCTACTAGTAGGTTTCTCCTCATTGAATATGATGGAGAATGACATCATTTGATTGCTTGTTCTGTCCGTCTCAAAGCTTTTGGCAACACCCAATATTATGATGTCTGGGGAAAGTGGCCGTCACCCCATTCCTTGTATCGTCCAATTTTGTAGACACACACATTGTGTACCGAGATTGTTCCAGTGGTGGAGCTGCTAGAATGCTACCAGGCGCTATCCAAGGAGACGTGTGGATTGCTCAAATGTGATACGCAGCCCAAGGTCCCGACAAGTTTCCAGTTTGCCTTTTCATTCTGCCGAAATTGTGTGAGGCTGCAATAGCCAATGTAGTCTTGAGGAGCGCCAAAGGCACTGACCAAACCGAGACAGGATGCGCCATGGCCAATAAACAATAGATTTTTACTGGGATATCGATCCTGAGCAATCGTACTGGCAACTCGTTCGGATCTCTGTGCCGCTGCATCATCACCCCATTCCCGAGCTGGCAGTGCGTCTCGGGTCATGACTGGAACGTAGGAAGGATCAATCAAGGAAGAAAACGAATAGTTGGATGTTTCCAACTCCTGTTGAGATCCCATGGAGGAAGATGTGGACCCAACTTCTGAAATGCCCGGTTCGACCTTGATGGTGGTTTGGAATTTGAGCGCTACTGCCTCGGCAGTCTCCAGACAACGAATATACGGTGATGAAATAATAATGATCATCATGTCAGAGCATCGTTTGTGTAGTTCCGTGGCCAACTCCATGGCTTCTTGATGGCCCAATGGAGACAATGGGGAATCAACTCGCCGACCATGCCCGGCTTTTTGTAGCCATTGAGGGTCTCGGTCAGGTCCATTGTCTGCGCGTGCTCCATGGCGAGTGACAAAAATGCTGTTGACAGAAGGAGGAGGGCAGATTCTTCCACCTCGTCTGGAATGAAATGGCCAAAACTTTGTGGATTGATCACCAGGAATGGGCAGAGTCATGAGTTGATAGTCTACTTCCTTGAGCTGATGGCTGGATAAAGATAACCCCACATGAGTGGCCATGTCACTCAAGACCTTGAGCGACCCAACCGTCAGGTTTTGTTGGGTGTTTTCTAGCACAATATTCTCATAGTCAATCACCAAAGTGGCGACTTCCATCCAAGCAGGATCGGGTGGAAATTGAGGTCCTTTTCGAACGCTCACAATTACATGCGTCAAGAGGGGTTTGACGGTTTTCTGAAACTCTCCAGGAAACATGTAGTCGGTGAATTCGTGTGTCTTGATCAGGACTGCTCTGGAATGTTGCAGCCGCTTTTGGATCTTGGTAGGATCCAGCTCTCGTATCCAATAGGAATCGCATGGTTGTTCTGCTTGACGAAATAATAGACGCACTGCATTGAACACCCACGTAGAGGCAGTGCGGCCCATGTCAAGACTGGCAGTGACGATGCATCTCTGTACGTGTTTTTTCTGAGCTACCGGTATCGTCTGTTCCTTCAAGTCCAAGTGACGCAGCTCGCACTCATAGTCACTGCAATCAAGACTTCTAGGACAGTCCAGAGAGGAAGTGGTGCGTTGTAAAGAGCTCATCTTTGCTTGAGGGATCAGTTTGAGGCAGTCTTCGGAGAATGATCTATCCGTTGCCATATATAACGAATAAGCTGTTGCTCTGTTCGCTTGTCCTCTGCCACCAAACTGCATTTGTTGAAAAGGTGTGAACTTGAACGCACAATTTCTCTAATTTAATCAATATCCTTCCAGCTCTACTGTCTAGTAGACTGGCTATTCGTTTCGTTTTCTCTTTCTCTCTCGTTCAGATTGTGAGCTCTACAACTGAGCTCCGATATGCATACATATACCAGGATCTTTCGATCCTCTGCTTCTCGCAGTTTCATTTGCAGATAGATCTCGTCGATCTATCTTCCTGAAGTGCATGGTTGGCCCTGGAGGGCTTTCCCACTTTACTAAACCTATGGACCTTCATCCGTCCATTCATTTGCTCCGTCCCATCGCTCCTTGCATTCATCTCTTCGACCTAACTTCCTAACCTTTGTAGTTGCATCATCTAGACGACCATTGTCCTCGTTCCTCGTACACCTGGCCATCTGATGATGATCGGATAACCATCTGATTTGAGTCACACATCCTTAGTCACGAACCGTGACTGCGGATCCCGAGTCGTCTGTCCGTCATACGAAAATACCTTTCTAACATGCATTTCCATACAATCTTTCAATAGGGTTGAGGCTAAAAAGATACTCCATTCATTCTTTCAGAGGAAGCACGCATCACCGGTGGACGAAGTAGGGGGGTCCAATCAAAGGTCAATGGTCAGCAGTCAAAAGGGGGGTTTAGAGCACGGAGGGAGGTCCAATTCATCGCTTCAACGTTCCGCTCCCGACAAATCTGCCGGTAATCAAATACCAAAGACCTGTACTACTACAAATCATCCACCATGCCGTATGTTCGCTTAGTGTCTAGTGTTATGCTATTGCTGCTGTCATTGTGCCATGCCGGCAGAGCACCAAATAAGGCACCCAAGTTGCCTGAGGGCGTAAGTCTCCTTCTAAAGAAATTGCACTTGCCCACTGAGGCGAAAGCCGATTGCTGACCCCCTTGATTTTGTCACTTTTGGTTGATGTGGCACCGATCCATCTCGATTGATCGGTTGTCCTTTAGTTCTGCCCGAAAGAGACTGGAACGGCCACCGCAACAACTGGAGGTAAGATGGAAGCATCTCACGTATTGGATACCCTGATTTTTTGAGGTACTAGTACTGGTACAAGAAGTCTCTAAGATTCGCTCGGCGTCGCGACCTTTCAATTGCCTTTTTTCAGAATGTATGTGCAATTGGCAGCACAAGGATGGATGCGTGGGATCAGGTTGCAAATTTGGTACGATAAAATTGTTGTTTCTGGTATTGCTATGCTAATCAATCAAGGACTCATAGCTGGGCATCATACTATCATCCTCCTGCTGCCAATGTTACTTATTACTTTTCTAGAAATGGGCCTGAGCTGGTATCACTATACTTGCAAGGATTGCCGTTGTGTGGCAGAGCCATGAGGACATCCAAATAGTCGCTTGTAACGACCGTTCAAGCCCCTTACCCCTTACCGGTGCTTCTGTTTGATGCTGCGAGTCTCCTTTTGGATGCACTTCTTGACAAAGGTTCCTACCTATCCACGTCAAGGCTGCTGTGCTGCTACCGTAGGGAATACTGTACTCCTTCAATAGACGCAGTAAAATAGCAGGTTTATACAGTTTATGCGAGTTGGCAGTAGCTAGCTATATACAAAATGGTCAAACAATGTGCAATGATTTGTCCAGGAAAAGAGCACCACTAATAATCCACGTCGCCGTGTTCGTCTTCTTCTTCGTTGAGGGTTCCAAGCGCATAGCTTGACGTCATGAATGCAATGTCACGTTCTTCCGCGCAATCGAAGTCAGCAAAATGGCCCCAGCATTGCTCGGGATTGCCAGTGCCTTCGCGGACCCCTTCATCGTTGTCAACAATAAGCTTGGCGACAGGTTGAAATTCCTCGCTTTGTGTGCTTGGAATCGTCCCGGAATGGTCTCCGCGGAGCTTTCCGGTTGAAATGCTTGCTTGGCAACCTGACGCAAACTGCATGGTCTGGACAATCTGTTCTCCCAGAGAGGAAAAGCTTGTGGAGCTCACCAGATGTGGGAATGCTCCATGATGGTGCATGTTCATTACATACTGATCACGGTAGTTCACAAGCATGGTTTTAAGCAGTTCCAGGACGTATGATACTTCGGGAAAGATGGACCCTATAAATTGAAAAATCATGCGCAATGCTATCATGGAAACGAGGTTGGTTTGCTGTGGCAACTGAGTTGCTTGCCTCTGCAGAGACTGAGAACAATGGTTTGACTTCAGGGCTTGCTCATAGTGCCCAATCGTCGCCGAAGCAAGGTTCAATGAAGACGATGACGATCGCTTGAATCTCCCAGAAGCATACTGTTCGGTCGACGAGCACCTAGACAGACTGGAAGATGACGAGAGAGACACCAACGATGCCTTGGAGGCCAATGAACTCCGGAGACCCATCTTCATTGCCATCGCACCTTACTTGCACCGGTCGTCGAAGCGACAATGTGATACCAAAGCACACGAAAGCAGAAAGGGAAAGATAGAGGTGATGGGTGAGAAGCGATTTGATGGGTGGCCAACTCCGCCGATGTTCGTGCCTTTCGAGCAAACCCGTCCAAAAAGTTGAAGTTAAATTCCAAAACATCAATGCAACATCAAACCACGCACTTGCAAAGCACAGCCCCTTGAATCAATCACTGGAATGATTCAATCTTCAGTCCTAACCCAACGAGAATATGTTGTTGTTGCTGACCTCAGGGCGTCCAATTCCAGTGTCATCCACCTCACCTCACTATTGCTGTCCCTTTCCTCGCAGAGGCTAATTTCTGCAAGATTTATTGTTCATGGGAAAGAGCGAACTTGTGTACAGTATCTCTTATAGTGTTTCGTCCCAATCAAATTTTGCGGAAGAGCCCACGTCATCGAAGGCGAGAAAAAAATCCGAAACATCAGAATTTTTCAGCAATCAAAATCCTCGATCGCTTCGGCCAATGGCGGGTTGCCACGGTCTACCAATGGTGTCAACAGGAAGTCTACCAGTAGGTAGCCAGAATGGGGAAGTTACCTACTGTACGGAGCGAGGCGGTTGCTACGTGCAAGCTACCATAGACGAATCAAGAGTACATCCAATGGAACTTTTGTACTGTGGGCTACCGGAGGGCAGGAGCGTGGGAGCGAGAATGCAAGCAGTTTAGCAGATTGAATTCTTGGCCATTCCTTACTCAGTCGGGGGTCTGGGTCTCTAGAGGCAAGGATGAGGACAGCTGAGAATCATTCAATCAGATTGGAGCTCGGAGCACGGAGCAACAAGCCACAAGGACTTCCAAAAAGCGCTGGAGTACCACACTGTCGTAGCTCGTAGCTGTCATGCTTTATGCCATCTCCGTCAGAATCTAGCCAAGGACCTGTAGCCACAGAAAGGTGTGGCTACCAGTTCATTGTAGGGTATCCTGCAGCACATCTGATTCTGTTCATTTCTAGTAGACCTTGGATATTGCAACGGACTTGACGTTGTCGGCATTGAAAACCTTGTTTCCCTTCCCCACATCTAGGTTTATCTTTTTTACCTTTGTCTGGACTGCTTTCATTTCAGAAAAGATGTAGTCTGCAAGATTGGACTTGCTGTGGATGAAGGTGCTGCATTTCCTTGCTAGCCGAAGCTCAGAAAGAAGGGAAATGACTTCTAGTTTGGGGCTATCGGATGGTATGTGATTTTCCCAGCCTCCCTCGGTACCTCTGTAGCGGGTCCGGTTCAAATAGACCCAGTTGTAGTCTGGAAACAGATTGAGTGCTTCTCCAATGGCATTGGCATCGTCCGTGAGTAGTAGAATATTCTTTGTAACGTTGTGGGCCTTGTCCAAGTACTCTTCTATTGCATGATATCGTCTAGGTGTAGGGTCCAGTAGAACAACATCTCCCCGACGTACTGTTTACGAATGAAAGTTTGTTAGAGCAAGGAAAAAAGAATTACAAGCAAAAGTGGATTGTCCAATCTACCCTTGAAAGGCGTACCATGAAGAACCGTACAAGGAGCCGAAAGCTGTGCTTCGTAGGGCTTGGAGTATTCATAGACCTCCCGTCGGAGCCATTTTTGTGGTCTCACAACATACTCCAGGTAGCTCCATGCCTGTTGAAATCCCTGCCATTGCCCCGCCAAAAAGTACTGTCGCCCAATCGAAGGTCGCTCGGTAGACCTACAATTCGTCAGATTCAAAAAGTAGCACTGCATGTTTCTCTGAGAGCATACTGGTTTGGAACCATCTTTCTTTGCAGCATAATGCCAGCCAAAGGAACTTGTTGCAATCGTCAAGGATTTTCCGGTTTGATGAGCTGCCTTGATTCCATCTACAACATTGGAAAGATCAGCTCCCCATCCGGAATTCCACATGGTCTTAGAGAAGGTGGAGGAGCAGTTATGCTTATTCTCAAACTGTATATTGTAGATTTCTTGAAACAATTTTGCTTTCTTGGGAGGAAGGCGTTCAAAGCAATAGTGGGTATCATTTTCTTTGGTATAGTTCGGCCACCATCCAGGATGATGAGTCCACCAATCATCAGCATCCCAGTCTTCATTCCATGACACACAGAATTCTGTTGTGGCATTATCGATGGAAATCCAGGGGGCCAAGTGTTTTCTCCCCATATTTGCAGTGCCCTGTGTGGAAATATGTTTCGGATTCCCTGTGGTTATCTTTTGAAGTCTCAGTTGGATTTCGATGCTGCTAGATGTGGCACTTCGAGTAGCAAATTGGAATGTTTCAAGCCAAAAGATGGCACATGTGCTTGCCAAGCAGAAAGCTAATAATTTCTCTGTTGATGTCGCCGCAGCCATGGTGTCTGCTTTGTCTCTTTGTCTTCCCTCTCTTGATTTTGCCTGAACAAACTTCGTGCTTCAAATTCAGCTCGATTGCTTCTTGTTGGTCGCCGGTGCATGCCAAAAAATGGAAGGCTGATAACCGACACCATCGCCTCGCGGTTAGGAAGACGGAAAAGGTACCGTAGGGGAAGAGAGGAGTGATGGCGCACGTGTGACGGTGCCGTGCCGAGTCGAGTCGAGTCGAGTTTGTCGAGTGACGAGTCGAGTGATCACGTGACTGCTCAGACTCTCCTACGGTAAGGCTGGGGCTACTTTTACTGTACCGTACGACGTAAAGAATGCCCCACTGCTGGCTAGCTAGATACAGTAGGCACTTCAGACAAATAAATACCGGTTGTAGCTACATGTAGCACAAGTGCTACCTGTATGCCGGTATGGAGACAACCAGGAAGAAGGGAGGCAGAGTGAGCTTGGAAATCAATTAGAGTATTTGTACGAAGTTCTGACTCACACCAAGGCCAATCAATCGAGCGAAGAATGATTTTGATCGCATGATTGAGTGTTACCTGCCCTCCTTCGCAGTCTTTGTGATCAATCAATCCTTCGCAGTGCTTGGCCTTTCGTTTTATACGACTGAAAAATACACCCTTCTCTGTCTTCTGTTTCTTCCTCCTGGATACAGCACTGCACTACTCCCGCACCCTGTTTGACAAGATCGTCTGGGATTTTTTGCTTTAGTGCCTTCAGAGGACTTTACGGTCTGGCTTGGGCAACAGATCCCTCCTGCCAGATCTTTCAAGTTCGTCTGATGTAGGCTGAAGATCCTTTGCCCCAGCGGAATCGAATCAAGCTGCAGCTTCATCGATCGAAGGGAGAAGAGAAGTCTGCACAAGGCACAATCACTAATGCTATACTCAGTATATTCTATTGGAGTACATGTACTTCTTGCATCGAGATTTAGCTGTTGTCTTCCTTAGTTAGACAAGGCTGACAATAAAGCTTTACGTACAATCAAAGACAACTACTGCGTACTAGAGCGGTACTCGCAGTATTTACTGAATCCGAGAATTGAGAAAATGATGCACGACCCTCGACCTCCAAAATGATCGTTCTGAGAGACAAAGGCTGGGTGGAGCTCGACTCTGCCAGGCATCAGTCGTACTGCAAAGTCGCCTGTTCTCTTACGGAGTACCTTAATCTTATTCTAAGTCTTCACACATTACTAGCTCTAGCTACATGTACATGTAGTGCATGTACCGGTAGCACCACGAGGCTACAGCACCTTGAGGTAATCCACTCAAATTGAGTCTATTCTCCTTTTTTCAAAAACATTTTCTTCAAAAATATGTTCCCCAGACTGAAAAGGAAACAGCCTACCAAGCTGAATCTGAATTTTTAAGAGCCTAATTAGGCTCTTAAAATTACAACAGGCTCTTAGAATTCAGATCTGAAAAACCAGATTGAATATCTAGCTAATTTACAATGGGATCTGAGTTTTCAATTTTCCAATCTTAATTCTAAGAGCCTATTTAGGCTCTAAGAGGCTCTGAGAATTCAGATTCAGATTATTCAACTTCAACAGGCCTTGTGGAGTCCTGCATGTCTCTTTGCTTCATTTTACATTTTCTGAACAATTAAAATTTGAGCTTTTTCTTCCATTTGGAGGACATTACCCCAAGGTGCAGTACAGCGTACGGTTTCGTTTTGTACGGGTAGTTTTTAGGCAACATGCAGGAGCTTCCCAAGGCTTTGTCATGGGGGCGATATGACTGTGACTCAACCCACTGTGATTCAAACTTCGACCCGCTCGATCAGCCAAGCTGGGGCGTTCAATCTGTTGCTTGGCTCATAAACTCAAAACGGAAACAACAAACAACAAAAGACAACTAAACAAGCAACCAAAATATCATGAAGATCAACAGCACATCCTTACAAAGTTCAATGCTTGTCCTTCTCAGCCTTCTTGGCTTGTATGCAACACCAGCACTAGGCCAGAGATGGCAGGAGGAGCACCAACAATTAAATGTCAACAGGAACAAATGGAAGAGTCAGAGCATTCAGAACTATCAGTATACGTACCAAAAGCTTGGCCCCAACCCCCAAAATATTGCCTATCCCTGGACTGTGATTGTCAGGGGTGGAGCCAATGCAAATGCTAACGATGGAAACAACAATCCTATCTACTGGGCCACTCCTCCAACCATGGATACTTTCTTTGGAATCATCCAAGATGCAATCATTAACAATGCCCAGAGAATCAGTGTAGGCTACAGCCAGCAGGGATACCCAACCAACATTTACATCCAGAAGAGCAACGGAGAAGTCTATGATGTCACAATATCAGGCTTCCAATCCCAGAGACTCCGAAAGAGAAACCTCCAAAATCAGAGATGGCAGCAGGAACACCAGCAGTTGAATGCCAGCAGGAACAAATGGAAGAGTCAGAACATTCAGAACTATGAATACAAATATCAAAAGTTTGGCCCCAACCATCAAAACATTGTCTATCCTTGGACTGTCATTGTCAGGGGTTTCAATGCAAATGCAAATGATGGCAATAACAACCCAATCTATTGGGCTTCTCCTCCAACCATGGATACTTTCTTTGGGATCATCCAAGATGCAATCATTAACAATGCTCAGAGAATCACTGTAAGTTACAGTCAGCAGGGATACCCAACCAATATCTACATCCAGAAGAGCAATGGGGAAGTCTATGATGTTGGTGTCTCTGCCTTTGTCTCCCAGTAAAAGCACAATGATGGCATCATGCATGGATAGAGAGAATAAAGATATAGAGTAACAGTAGAGAGCAATAACTATCTGAGAAATGATGACTTGGCCTCTGGTTGGTTGTGAGTGGCCTCAAACCCTTTCACCTTTCCTCCTTGTAGACATATTTGCTCCACTCCAAGCAAAAGTTTTCATACCTTGTGGCTACTGTAGAGTAGAATGGTGCCACGAGAAGAGATAAGAAGAGAAAGGCTGGCTTTGTTTCTTCCTTGCCGAATTGATCTCTCGAGAAACGCAAATAGTAGCTTTTCAATGTCTAGCTAGATCACTATGGTTGTGGCAGAAAGTGTTTGTGGCTCTGTTGTACCTACCCGTAAGCCAAGCTACTGGTGCCTCTGGATGACTTACTAGCTTCCCTCTCCGCCAGTTCTTGAATTCTCCCAACGCTTTCCTGAATTGTCTTTGACAGCCAAGGATGCTGGTACCAACAGTGCAGCAGCTGCCGCTGCCATGGAGGCCCAAGAGCTCTTGTGGGCTTCAGGCAGCTAAGGACGCAAAGGTTGGTGCAAGCGAGTGATCATTTGCTCCCCGCTGGTTTGCTATTGCTTTGTGTGGCCAGTTCGTGCAACGGCACCACACCAAGGTGGCGACTGTCGCATTGTGTGTTCAGATTGTCCTAGCTAGCCACTTGCTCAGGAGTGTTGTGTGGAAGGTTCATGGTGCGATAAAATTTGGGGCCGCTACTATGGTAGGATACACATTTGTCAAAGCACATGTTTATTTCTAAGGGTTGTATGAAATAAGCAAACGCCACAATCACTTGTCAAGGAAGGCATCTCTACCACTGGGCTCAAAGACACAGGAGCTAGCGAAAGTGGGGTTGATTTCAGTCCTTTTTATGCTGGGCAAGGTTATCCAGGATATTTCGGAATTGTTGCTGGCTGAACGCTGTCGCCATTGCAAAGCCAGCAGCAAAATCACGTGATGCTGTTGGATTGATCGTTGCCGGTGCGGTAGCAGGCTGCATTGAAAGATGGTTTGCCACGGCCAGTGCAGACAACGTTGTCCTTTGGCCCTGTTGGCTATGAAGCAGAGCAGAGGCTGCTCCCGGTGTGCCCAAATAGGCGGGAAGAGGCAGACTGGGAGTGGCCAGGGTCGGCTGCACCGTCACTGTGGCCGGGGGCACACCTAGGCCACGGAACTGACTCTCGGAGGCAGCAATTGTTTGCTGGAACGAATCAAGAACAAGGCGATCGCTGGGTGCCACATGGGTGGCCACTTCAGTCTTGTTGGGCAACGACCCAGTGGACAAGAATCCCATGCCTCCCGAATAGATGGGGACTCGAGCCTTGGGTCCACCTTGGAGTGTGCATTGTAGCAGGACGGATTCATCCACCGCTACCTTCTCAGGTAAAGGGTGTAGCTTGCTAATGGCATAGAGGTCAGGTTCGTGTGCAGGGTCTGCAACCTTTTTCTCTGCAACACCCGGCCTCTTCATGTCCTTGCACAGGTGTGGCAAGCTGCGCAGGAATTTCTCGTGATAGTAACTATAAGGGATGAGAAAAGGAATCAGTAACTGATGAGCGGCATTCTGTAGCTACCGGTAGCAGCCATCTTCAAAAATCCAGGATTTCTTACCAATTTCTGTCAGCCCCTTGGGTGATCCGGCGGAATCCCCAACCATTTGCTTGACGCACAAAACTGCTAAATTCTAGGATGCAAAAACCACGTCAGTTGCCTGCTCTATTGACCAACAACACATGTCACCCCCCTTTTAGAATGTACTTACTCGCGTGTTCAAAAAACTTGGGCAGCACTTTGACCTCAAATTCACGAGGCTTCAAAACTCGCCATGACCTTCCGTGTGGTTGCCAAGTTACAATCCCACGAAGCTCCGTTCGGCTCAGAATGGCGTGCATCTTAGCTGGGAAATTCGGTACCCTATTACATCATGTCACAAGGCAGCCAAGGAATGTTTCGAAATAGCAAAAACACAATACGCTGAGAATCCCACGAGCACAACGTCCCGCACCAGAGCCAGCAGTAAAGATAAACAAACCTTCCGGGAGCTGTCAACGGAGTCAGTGGGTCTTTATCGGGAACCTGGGAAAAGTCCTTGTAGAAGAAGAAAGGAGCTGGACGCATCACGCGGATGATAGGTGCCTTCTTACCAGGCTTGAGAGGTCTTGGCTCTGCGTCTGTTTTAGCCACCTTGTTGCAATCTTGCATCTCTACGTCTTTGTCTTCTCTCTTTCGTTTGCTCGTCGCCAAGGAAGCAACAGCCGATGCTGCCATGTGCTCGTCTGGACTGAAGCCAAGATGATCCATGTTCATGATCAGGTCTATTTTGCACTCGCTCTCGTCTCAAGGAGCCAACGCTCTCAGTGCCTTGCTCCGTCTTGTTCCTGAGCTGATCGTGCCTGTTATCCACTGCGTTGGGTGCTTCGGTTTTTGGTTTGAATTCCTTTGACTTGGTTCGGATAATGCACCGTTCCTTCGCGTTGGTGCTGTGGTTGATGTTGATGGTTGATGGGCACGGTTGTTGATGAGGGTGAGGGGGAACCTGCTTCATTCCGTTTTCCGCTGGCAAGTATGCATAGCCTTTCCAGAGAACACATGACTATGTCGTCGAAAAGTCGAAGAAGACGGATTGATTTAACGAATGGCTCACCCATCAGGCTGACATCAAATAGGAGTCTCTGAAAGCTGGAAGGGTTTAGGATAAACCTTACTCGTAGCCTTTACGTGGGAGACACCTCCTATGCATACTAGACCTCCTGTTCTCAGCCCTCATACTAAACCACACCGAAGTATGTACCGCGAAGGACAGAATGATGAAGAGGTACCAGGTAGCAGCTAGCTAGAGCAAACACAGCTCAAATGAGAAAGGATGGATAATACGGGTTGCACTGCCAAAACCAAAACGCAAGGTTATCCTGCGTATTCAAAGTTGTTTTGGCAATCGGCGGGCTACTTAATCCACAAGGGCGGCTTATGCATTTATGAAAACTTAAAAGTGTTTGTTGGAGGGGGCATCGTGTACAAAACAAGTAGATCTTTAGCACAAATCAAACACTCGCGCTGCCCCAATTTCACTGCTGCCATCGGAAGCTGCTCGAGGTACACCGGCGGCCACTCTTGCTCCATCCGCTGACAAGGCCACAGACACCCCCAGCATCTCCATCTGCTGGCTCTTTCCATTGATCTCCTCACCAACAACTTCCCAATCTCTTTTGTCAGTGTTGAAGTCATACACATAGACATGGCCCGAAATAATTCCAGCATTCATACCCTTGTAATCTCCAACAGCCACCCGATTTCCATCTCTTGACAAGGCCACAGAGAAGCCACCTTCCAGGTCAAGGGTTCCCATCTGCTCCCAGACTCCATTGTTTAGCTCATAAACACGAGAGAAGCCTGGTGCAGGGATGCCCATATTGTCCCCAGGAAATCCAACAGCCACTCGACTGCCATCCATGTTGATAGACACTGTCATACCAGCCCATTCGCCAGGAAAGATTCCTTCAATGGCCGCTCCCACCTGGAACCAACTTTTCTCGGAAGGGACAAACTGGAAGACCTTGACTTGTCCTGCTTGGGGACCACCATTGCGATTGTCATACCTGTGAGCACCCACAATCATGTGCTCGCCGTCTTCGGACAATTGGATTGCACTGCCAAACATGTCTCCATCAGAATCTCCTTGAAGCTTCTCCAAGAGTACCCAGGAATCATCTACCAGGTCATAAATGTATGCACAACCCACTTCAGTAGCATTAATGTCCCCCTTCTTGCAACGAGAAGCGCCAATTACAAGACGCTTTCCATTGGCTGACAAGGAGATGGATGTACCAAATCGATCATCTTCCTCTTCACCATCAATGTCCTCTCCAACTTGTTCCCATTGGTTACTGTCTGGAGACAGATCAAACACACGGACATGCCCTGAATTCTTGCCATTCGTTCCATCGTTCCAGATCCCACCCGCAGCCAACCGTTTCCCACTGGCATCTAACGCAACTGAATGCCCAAACCAGTCGCCTTCGCCTTCTCCATCCAGTTCTTGACCGAGACGTGTAAAGAATCCAATGTCCGACTGGTACTGGTACACTCGCACATGACCGGCATTCTCTCCATTGTCATCATTCGAGTTGGCGCCAATGGCAATGATGGATCCATCGGCCGACATGTCCATGGCACTGCCCGACAAATCATGAGCCGATTCACCGACAATGTCATCGGCAAACTGGAACCAGTTGGTACTGTTGGTGCCATTGGCAGGACACACGGTTTTGGTGAATGCGGGTTCGACCGTACTAGTGGAAGCCTCATTGTCATTGGTGGTAGTTATAGTGATTGGCGCAGTGGTTGGCGAGCCCGATGGTGCCTTCGTCTCTGGTTTCTCCATGGTCGTCTCGCTATCATCTGGCTCGTCTTTGGGGGTTGTTTCTTGTTCTTTAGGAGTCTCGTTGGTCACCGATTCCATTGGATCTTCCGTGGTAAGCGTGGGTTGAGCCCCACCAGTGGAATCACTTCCTACACCCACGGCAGCAGAAGAAGAAGACTCGCTTTCCTTGTTTTTTGTCACGGTGACGGGCACAGCAATCACCAAGACAATCGCGACAATAGCCAGAAGAGCAATGCCGATTCTCCTGCCCCAACCACTATCTCGTTTTTGCATGCTAACAATGGTCAGCTCTCGTTCTTCCTCAAAGTGGGATTCCACATCGCTGTGTCCATCATCTGACATCATTTTGGTCCTTCTGTATGTTGATTGATTTGATTCCTTATTGTTACAAGCTTCGTTGTTGAGATTGGAACAGGGCTTGCCTTTAGCATTTTCTTTTTGTTCTGTTGAAAAATCCTTTCTCCTTCTCAAAAAAGTGATCCAACGTCCGAGACCCGGCTGCAGTCAGCTCTGCTGGGGTTTTGGATGGCACAATGGTAGTTTAGGTAAACAACTCTTTCTGAATTCTTTAGAAAATTTCTTTCCCCGTCTACCTGTACCCAATTTCAGGAGCGTTCCTCAATCGTGGATGAGGTTAAATCCAGAGGTTCCCAAATTAGGGGCAGATTTAGGGGCAGATTCCCATTAGGGGCAGGTTATTATAACCTGCCCCTAAAAATAGGGGCATTTTGGAGAATCCGCCCCTAAAATAGGGGCGTTTTGTCATTTAGGGGCAGATTTCAAACCCGCCCCTAAAATAGGGGCGTTTTCTATGTATTTTGAGTACAGTCCCGTTTACTTTTTAGGCTGGTTTTGAAACCCGCCCCTAAATATTAGGGGCAGTTTCTTAGAAACTGCCCCTAAAATAGGGGGCGTTTTCTAAATAGGGGCAGGTTTGGAATCCGCCCCTATTTTAGGGGCGGATTTAGGGGCGGATTCCAAATATGCCCATATTTAGGGGCGTTTTGCACGACTGAGGGACGCTCCAGGAACAGCCGGAAAGTTTTGAAAAACCACCCACTAGCTAGGGATGGACCAACCAGTACCACCGGTCAACGGATCAACCAGTACAATCTGTGCTTTATCATGAACAGCTCTGCAGTGTTCCTGAGCGCCACTTTGAAAACTTTGTACTGTACTGGTCTGGCCTCTTTTCTAGTAAATAGCTAGCCAAGCGTGACTTTGTACTTGTTGGTCTATTCCTACCAGTACTAGATAGTATAGCCGATGGTTTCGTGGCCTCGCATCTCGATGATCCCTAAGTGACGCCTAAGTAATTATTTAGCTACTATGCAACACAGACGCCAAGCCTCGCACGCAAGGCGGTACATCCTCATGACTCGGCTACTCCGCCTTCATCCAACAGCATCCGAATAACCCCACCGTCTCGGTGATCGTTCACACCAGTGACGAACCAGAATTCACCCTCGAACGCCCATCCTTCATTACTACGGATTCGAAAAGAATTGACTCAGCCAAGCAAGATTGATTTCTGTTACATGAGAAGAACAAAATCGGGTCACAGAAATTTCGCTCACAAAAACTCTACAGTCAAATTCGACACACTGCATACTATTTCTACAGTAAAATAGTACATATTTCCCATGCAGCATCAGACCATCCGTTGCACTCAATATCGGTAGTTCTATCAGCTTCCACCACACTCGGCAAACTTTGCTTGTTGTCATTGTTGGCTTGTTGGCTAGCTAGCTAGGCCCAGTTTTGCTTGCCCAACCATGAGCCTGAATCAAGCCCGTCGTCGCCGTAGTACTGGCAGTAGTATTGGCAGTGGTGCAAGTGGTGGCTCTGTTTCTGCCACCACTTGTTCCACTGTCGCCACAAATGGAATGGAAGAAGGTGACAATGAAACAGCTGTATTGGGTGGCAAATTTGGTGGTGCTGCCTACGAAGTCTACAAGTTTGAGCCATCTGAGGATGCGATCATAGCAATCCTTAGCTCGAAGAAAAAGGGCACACCTCTCACAACCAAACCTGAGAAGATCAAATTTCTCAAGGCAATTGTGGATAACCGAGACGATTGGTTTGGTCGAGCCAGCAAATTGGGAGGACCAGATGGAACCCGGCTTGAGGCTTACATGCGAGAGTTTATCCCGAGATTGACTGATGCTCGATGGACTATGGAGGTACTTGCCGAAAAGATCTACCATACTTACAGAGTACTGAAAAATCCATTGACACATCAAGCCGTACTCCCAATCGAGCAGTTTTAGCGCCATTCGAACCACTGGATGAGATGGTCAAATATGCAACACATGAAGCTCGAAAAGCAGAACAGAAAAAGATTGATGAGCAAACTCCCAATCTTTCCTATGATGAAGCTACACGGAAATTCTTGAAGGGTGGTGGTGTCCGTCCTTTGAAAAAGTCGGACTGGTGTTGCCTTTTCTGCGGGCACGAGTACATTGACGAGCCAGCCTCAAATGCAAACAATGAAAAGAAATTTCTAGCAGAGATCCGCCAATACGAGCAAAAGCAACAAGCAGAGGACTCCCAAAATGGCGGAGCTGGAAACAACAACTCCAAATTGAAAAAACCGAAAATGCCAAAACCCTACCAGTTGTGTCATTGCCATAAGTTTCGCTGTGTTGGACCGTCATCGTTGGGTTCTACATGTCCTATCAAGTGCATCAACCCAGTGACTAATCAGCGCTATCCAATTGTCGAAGGCAAATGCACGTGTCCTTTGTGCAAATGCATTTGCCAAATTTCCTACGCGGTCGGAGCAAGTGAACACCTCACATTGAAACAGCAACTCGACGATTCGGCCATGGATCAACAGAAACAGCTCGGGGTTCAAGCTTCCCGTCAGCGTGTATCCTTCTTTACGAGCGAGTCCATGAATCAAACTCTGACATCCATAGCCAACAACCGTGGTGCCAGCAAAATGAGTCATGCCGACGTTGCAAATCTTGCTAAATCTAATGCAGCTCGCGCCGTTGCTCACATGTTCGATCCAACGAACAACAAACCGTATTTACAAGAAATGAGAGGAGAAATTGGACGTCCCACCACCAAAACTCGATTGCCTGCTCCTTTGATGTACGGTGGAGTGGAAACTGCAAATGGTAAGCTTTCTTCGCTACAGCTTTGATGTTTTGTTTGATTCTCTAACTATTTTTGTGTCAATTGATAACTATTTCAGGCAACAAGAGTGGCCATCATTCTCGAAACAACAGCTTGAGTTTGTCGGAGGAAGATGCTCAACTAGCAAAGAAGGCACGGTTTCCTATCAAGCCGTACGAAGCAGTTTATGACTATGAATTCGTAATTATCTTAAAAATATGTCATGTTGGTCTCGGTATCTGAGAGGCAATTTCTGTGGTATATATATCACATTTCATCACTGCCCCATTGCCGAACAACTCTGCAGGTTACTCGAGATGACTCCTGAGTTCGAGCAGTTGGTGACACCCAGCACTAATTCGCACGTACTGGTGTGTATGCAGGTATTTATTTACGCTTTAGCGCTGCCTGTACTCAAGCGCTAGCCTTCGAGATCATTGGAAGGGTTCTTCGGGTTCTCGCTTACGTTAGTGGAGGTACGTACGTACGTCATTGGATATTCGGGTCGGAATCCCACTGATGTCAGTACGTGTCAGTGGAGGTACGTGTTCTCTGAACTCGATGTGACACGCTCCCGCGGAATCTTGTGGAATTCCTGGGACCATGGTGGAGCGATCTTCGAGTGATACTAGCGTACGGTGTGAAGAATGGTGTTCTTCGAGCGAATGCAAGGGAAGCGAACTGATGCCATCTTGCATACGAAGGGTACTGTCTTCTCTTAACTCACGAACTGTGTGGCATGTGGAGAGCCGTTTCTGAAGGACTTAGACGTTGTTGCACTAGTTGCTCGCTTTGCTATGTCACGATGAGAAGAAGGAGAACTCCCCCAGAGCACGGCTACTATGTTATCTAGCGAACGTCTTATACTATTTACGAGTGAGACTTACTTTATCTCACCGCTTGGGGTGAACTTCTCCCCCAAAGTCTTAACGAGGAATGGTTGGTGTGTCACGGGGAATTGAAGACCATAACTCCCCCGGAACTGGTGTTTCGGTTGGATGTTCCACGATCTACTAGGAAACTGAATGCTTACGAAGAATGGGGTACTCACGGGGTAACCTTTCTTAAGAGCCGTATTCCACCTTGGAGCCCTGCAGGAATGTCGACTGCAGACTTGTTTAACGATAAGGAGGACTATACTAATTCAGTAGTGCATACGAATACTAGAGAACGTTCCTGGGCAATGTTAGCTTCTTCAGCCAGGTGGAGGTTAAATCCTTGGTTCCATTACCAAGTATCGAACCACAGGCCTGGGGATCCTTACTCTAACTGGAGGACCGAGTGTACTAATTGTTTGAAGGCTCCCTGGTTGTCCAGGGTAGAGGCAGTACTGTTAATCCTATGAATTCGTAATTATCTTAAAAATATGTAATGTTGGTCTCGGTATCTGAGAGGCAATTTCTGTGGTATATATACCACATTTCATCATATGATCTGCCCCATTCAGAATCGAGTGGACAACTTGCAGCTGGTCTGCAACCTGATCTCAGTGGTTTGTTTCACCCACCCGGCATGTCAGAAACAGAGGCTATGGAGCAAGCTCTAGCAATCAGCTCAGGAGATGCGCAAGATACTGGGATGGCATGGGCTATGCGAGCGAGTTTGACCGCCGCAGCAGCAGCAGCAGCTATCGCCAGAGCGGTGGCTGCTGCAGCTGCTACAGGAAAGAGTACTGGAAGTAGTCTTGAAGACTCAGGGGGGTGCAACGGGAATCCTGTGATTCTGTTGTCGCCAACAATCGTTGCTTCTACGAATCTACGTTGGACATCTGCTACGGATCCATTGAACTTGGTGGATTCTCCAGAAACACCAGCTACGAAGCCAGCTGCAAAGCTTACTTTTCCAGAGCGTGTTTTGGATAAGGCAATGGGCCGGATGACAAGCAAAGCTATCACTAGCCCCATGGCTCTACCGGTGGCCAAGAGCCTCGCAAACAAAACCACTGGGGAAATAAGAGGTTGCATTCGTACCACCGAGCCAATCCACAAGCTGACTCCCAGGAGGGATACTCTTTTTACAAGGAACTTCTAGATGATGATGACGACGGGGAGAAAAATTAGACACCATACAAACGGATAGATCATCAAAATAAAAACTAAAGGACATGGGCAATCATATCTATTAGGGATCGTAGCCGCAATGAGTAAAGAATCGATCAAACATGTCAGGTGTTTGCCCTGCCTGTAACATAATGTCATTGATGGCTTGCTGGAGCTGATTGCTATCATCGATCTCATACATCCTCATGGACAGCTCCTGCTGAACATAATTAAAAAAATATTCAATGGGACCATCCCATGGATTATAAGGAGCTCGAAACAGCAGATCATGGTTGTGGATTAACGAGCGAACAAGAGGATGGTGGTGGCTGCTTTTAAAAATTGTCACAAATGAAAGTGTGGGTTGGAACAGCACCACCAATGCCTCCATCCCCCAAATTGTTTATGATTTCATCAAGGAAGTCGTAAGTATCCAAGACCGTTGTCCCAGCCTTCAATTTGAAGTCAAACCAACAAGCTCCGTTGGGTCCACCAGAAACAGCTGCAATCAGAGTGTATTTTTGGGCGTGATTGTAGTGACCTTCTTCGTTAACTCGAGAGCTGACAATACATTTGCCATAGCTCCTGTTGGTTGTTTCAAGGAAGATTCCTGCCTCGTCCCAATCAATGATTGTGCTACGGCTGGTGTTACGAATGCCAGCAGGATATGGATTATTCCAGAAGACATGTCTCATGGCAATATTTATTGGTCGATTGGCTTGTTGAGCTGTTGTTGATCCCCTCTTTCTGGAAAGTCCGAGCCACTGTTCAGCTTCAGTAATTTGGGATTCAGAGAAGAACCTCAATTCCTCACCTGGAAGTGTACAATCAAATAAAAATGCATTGACCTCTGCTGCTGCAGCTTTGGGGTAGCATAACCGGAAGAACACAAGCATTTGCAATTTGTGTCCTTGAAGAACAGTAGTGCAATACACGGCTCTTAGCCTTATTCGCGACTCGATCCTAGATAGGGTTTGAGTTCGACTCATGACTGAGTCTCTCGTGAATAGTCATCTGAGACAGGGTTCTCGATGACCGCGCTAGTCATACTAGGTTGATGATGAAACATCGCTCTAGATATTTAGCCAGCGTGGAGTACTTCCACGCTACTAGATCTAGGCTAGACAGACCTTCCACGCGTTCCGTTTTAGGATCGTGGAGAAACGTAGGCTCACTACCACAACCTACTCTATCACACTTTATAGTCTCCCGCGGGAAGCCAGATCTACGATCCCTTGATGATGATCTCTCTCGTTGATTAGTTTTCATAGCTTTCTAATCTCTCTCATAACTTTCATTCTCTCAAACTCAAAACACTCGAAAGATCTTTACACTAGCTTTTAGCGTAGTGCAGTAGCAAATCTGTTGCCAGTCATTTCAAATGGGCGAACATTGCCATGCTGATTCTGCCTTTCATGCCACCTGTTGATTGATCGAGTGGAAGGGGATCTGCCTACTGCCTGCAAGTGTTGGATTACTGGGTTTTGAAGATCACCATTTGCACTCGCTTCCATGGCAATTGCACGAGTATCTTGGGAGTACCCTCTAGCACCCCCCCCCTAGAGGGCATTGATTCTTCTCTTCGAATCGTTTGAGGAGGATTCCTCTGTGTGGAGTTTCTTTGCACAGGCATGATACTTTTGTGCTTCAGTGACGAGATGGTGCTGGTGCTGTTCCCACCACGAGATGGCTGACTGCCAGCCAACTGCTGCTCTGGCCGACTGCCCCTGACTTCTGCTCCGGTTGACTGCCAACTGCTGCCCGACTGCCACCGACTGCTGCTCTGGTTGACTGCCGACTGCTGCTCCGGTTGACTGCCGACTGCTGCTCCTGCTGACGAGATGGGTGACGTGATGAGAGACTACTAGTAAGGCCGATCCAATCAGTCCCCGGATCACGCCAATCAAAGAAGAGCATTCTGACATCATTGTTCTTTGTAAACTGCGTGACTCTGTTGTCTCCGCGGATTTTTGGCAAAGTTACGTGACGGCTCAGGAGAACCCGAGTTACTCTCAGAGTGTTCTTGGTGCTTCCAGGATGCTCTGTACCATTATGTCACCTATTTTGTTGGATTTGATTGGCTGATGAAAGGGTAATCCGTGTTTCGGGTTTCGTTGACTGTGTGTGGCGGATGTGTCCTTGAACCACGAAGTTTGAATTACGTGATTCAGGTTTCGTGGACTGGTTGGATCGGCCTAAGTTAGATACAACTAGCTAGCTGGGGGTGCCAACACACAGGTTGCTTTGTGGCTTAGCTTGTTGTATTGCCGGTAGCCATTGAATAGAGCCATTGAATGCGTGCTGTTGTAATAGCATGGCTGTGCTGTAGAGCCAGAACTGATTAGCTGTAGAAACTACTGACTCAGTTTTCGTGTCACAGAAATCAAGAACCCATATCACAGAAATCAGTCTTGCTTGGCTGAGTCAATTCTTTTCGAATCCGTAGTATGTGGGTAAGAGAAGAAAAGGAAGCACATTTGAGCCTAGAAAATTGTTGTTCGTAGGCCAATCGATTTTTTTGCGTTATGTGCGAAAATTGTCCATCGTGTCCATCTAGCTAGTAGACTATTGTGTTCAGTGCCGGTATGACACTGTCCATAAAGACTACTAGTACTAGTACTCCTACTAGGAGTAGTATGTCAACAGCAATACGACAACGACAACAACAACAGCACGATGACGACAACAATGACAATTGTGCTGCTAACGAGGCGTTTTCTCCCACGACTCAGAAGACCAGTGACTCACCCCAGTCGGAGGTCAAGGGATAGAGTTCATGAGTACCGGAAGAGCGCACATAGTCTGCGCAGCATATTCCACACTGTGGTTCACGATGGATACACCGTGGTCCCATTTTAGCACTCATGTCTCGATCCTACCCGAGTCGAATAGGCGCCATGTTTGAACCAAAAGCCGATGCCGGCTTGCGCCGTTCCATTTCTATCAGTCCGAACCTTGACAACGAAACCCAATAGACTTGATAGATCGTAATGCTCATAATATTCTCTTTTACTGTTTGCCATTGCACGTCTTCCAAAGGTCTAGTGGAAGCTAACCACGCTACGACGCCAACCCAAGGAAGGGAGATTATCACTTACGAAATAGGATTTCAGCAGATTAGCAGTCGCAGTTACGTCCCTACACAACTGCACAATCATGTCCGCCGCTGCCCGTCGAACCGCTGATCGTGACAAGCTCAAGCATGTCGTGACCATCATGCTCAACAATGACGAAACCAACTGGGAAACTCACGATGTCATGCTCGCCCTCACTCACTTTGGAGTCGATACCTTCTCGGACCTCATGATGATGGAACGCAAAGACATTGAGTCTCTCGTGGTTCCAGCCGCTGGAACCGTTGCAGAACACCCTCTTGGATGCAGTCAACGGTGACAACTCCTTGCTGTGATTTGCTGCTTTCGCCACTTCTGTCGAGAGCAAGCCAAATCCATCAACGTCACGTCTATCAGTTTCGCTAACTTTCAACGATTCCACATTGGACGATGGGATCCATCAGTGGAAGTGGTCCCGTGGCTCACGACACGAGCTCCTGTATCTGCCGAAGCAGAGATTGAACACTGGAAGAACAAGACGGTCAAGATCTCTCGCAGCGACTACAAGGAGTTCTGTGACGAAGCGTACTGGCACAAGTGGAGCGAAGATTTCCTACTCACTGTAAAGTCTCACCGTTTGTCTCATCTACTCGAAAAAGGATACATGGTGGAGAACCCGCCGCTCGATCGCATCCAACGCGAATGGATGTACAAGACACTCTGTGACACAATCAAAACCGCAGCTGGAAAATCGTTCCTCATGCAACACCTCAAGAACAGCGAAACTCGTCTATTCTGGGAAAGGATGTGCAATCACTACAAGACGTCGATGACAGCGACCATTCGTTCCTCCAAGACCTCGACCTATTTGACCGCTGCCAATTTGTCAGACGGAACGTGGCGTGGAAGCCAACAAAACTTCATTCTGAACTTCAAGGAATAAGGTCGAATCTACAACGACACCTCTGTGCACGACAGTACCGAGGGACAACTCATACAGTTCCTTGAGCAAGCTGTCTCTGGCGTGCCCAACTTATCCGGTGCACGACGCGTGGATATGCTCGCGCGTAGCGCAGCCAAAAATGAGGACACCTACAGCTTTGAAGATTACACTGCAAGCCTGCTCTCGCTAGCAGCCAACTACGACGCAGCTCACTCTGGTACATCACGATCCAGAGGAAACTCACGACGAAGCTCATACAACCATGAGCTCATCTTCAAACAAGACGATCAGAACCATGGATACGAATCCCATATATACGACTTTGACACGACCGTCGATGAACTACTTGAGGTCTATCAATCAGACCGTTCTCACACCGCTCCATTTGATCGTCCTTCTCACTTTTCCAAACGGGAGCAACTACTGACTCCTGCCGCTGGATCTGTCAACCAAAAACACTAATAGCAACAACGATAACAATACGATGGTCACTTCTATACCATCACCACACCTATTAGACCCATTGGAAGCATTGAAACGAAGCGAAATGACCTCAGGAAGCCTGTTATCTGTTATCTTGTTGAAGAGTACTGTTTTACTATAGGAATCCACTCAACGTCATCACAGAAAACACACATCCCTTCTCCTCTCTTTATCTCTCATTCAAGCCCTCCGGTTGACAGGATCGACACCTCCTCTGGTATCTCCTATCAAGCGCACCTCTCCTATCAAGCGACTATCAAAGCGGCCTTCTCCGGTTCAGATTAGAAAGCCATCCCAATTGAAATCCTACGAGATCGGGTGGGTTTTCTATTCTCGACCGCCGACGACCAAGTTGGAAGAAATTGACCACAAGAAGACGTCTCCGGTCTTCTGCAGTACCAGACGAGCCGAGAAACACATACTCATTCGTTACCTGCTGTTCTCTCACTGCCGACGGCCCAAGAAATCCCATTGTCGATCCTCTTTTTCGTACGATCGAATCTTCCGCAACAACAACAACAACTCCGGGTAACCTTACCCCTACGGCGGTGACGTTGATACGAATCGATTCAACTGAATCGAATCGACTCCTCTGAATTGAATCGATCCTCCCAATCGAATCGTATCCTCCGGACGTACCTCTTCCCGCGACCGTACCTCTTCCTCCGTACGGATCGAACGATCAAGAAGGACTTCACAAGATACCTGCAGTGACCACAGAGAAGAGAATTACACCTGTATTCTTACTTTCTACCTGGCCACTCTGGGTTTCTCCCGACGTCCTTGTTGGCATTGATCCTACTACTGTTACCACTCCTCCATTGATATCTAACTCCTCCCCACGAGGAACAACAAACAACAACAGAGTTCCTGTAAGGACTTGAGTACAGGTTGGCTCCAGCTAAGGTCAGTCTAGCCAGTCACCCTGCTCAGGCCTATCACCAGGCTTGACTGTATTCTTCGTCGTCTACAGCCTCCTCCCTGGGATACCCAACTCCTCTCCAAAGGATCTCACCCCCACAAGAACCAACAAAAGTTGCCCCTCTAGCGCCACAGCTAGATTGTGCAACACCCCCCTTATTGAACCAGTCACCTCTCTGCTCCTGCTCCTGACTCTCCTACTGAGTGTGTCTGACTCCAAAGGATTGAGCCCCAGTCAGAACTGCAGCGTGGTGTGGCTCAGATATCAACCACCGCCTGACCCTATTACCTCTCTAGCTGATTGTTGAGTGACTCCTCAGTCTTTGTCCATTCCACTGAATCGAGTACCCTCTACAAATCTTGGCTTGACTCTCTGCTGAAGTCTGTGGTGGCCTTCACCAGATTGAGTACCAGCCTTTGAGACAACACAGTGTCAACCAGTAACACAGCCCCATCAACCAACAACACCCCTTGATCCCCCCACCACTGCCTCTACTGGCTATAGCGTGACTTCTCCAGTTTTCCCTGAAAGAATCCCTATCAGCCTTTGGCTTTGATCCCTTCCTTTTGCTGTTTGTGGTAACTGTACTAGATTGGGACCCAGCCTCTGAACCAGTGGCCATCCCCACCCAACAGCTTTGATCCATACCCTGATTGCCAGTGCCCCAGAGCATTGGCCTCCTTGAATAGATTCCTTCGAATTAATCATCCTCTCCACCTCACAAGCAATCCCTCTGCTTGAGTTGCAGCAACGACCCGACAGTCAACATTACACGATCCAACAACCTTCCCATCCACCAACCATCATGCCTACCACAGCAAACACACCCCACCCTCCTCCCTCCAGCATCATGCTATCTACAGCCCACAACCACCCCTCCAACATCCACCCCACAACCCCTCCTACAGTCCACACCGCCCCAGCAGACACTGTGCCTCCCCTTTGGGAGCCACTGCCTGCCAGTGCGTCACTTGGCCCTATCGCATGGCTCTTTGTCGGCTTCTGCCTGACATTGTTCGCCCACTGGATAGGTTATACCCTGACATGGTCCAGTCTTAGGTGCGCCACCGCCTATGGACTCTGCTGGCATCTTGCCCTGCACGACAAGGCAATGGCCACAGCATGGGACCTGATCACTCAGACGCACCTGTGGTGGAGGTGGATCGATGATGACTGTTGTCGATCAGCGCCCTTCTAATAGGTTCAATCCTGGCTAGGCCACCGCGCTCCAGGTCATGATGGGAAGATGCACACTTCCGTTGTAAGTAGAGCTGTAGGGACCTGCCCCTTGTTCATGGGGCGGAGGTGAACGGCGGTGAGACTATAGGATAGTGTAGCCGTGCTACTATGAGGCATATCCTCCTTCAGTGTTGATGCTTGGTGTGCACCGTGAATCTTCCTATCGTGCAATTCATCAATGGTATACGACTCAGCTATTTGGGCCCTCGGGCTCAACTATTGCCAGCGTAGAAAAGGTCCTCCGGACCCAATAGGTTGTTAACCTAAATAAGTAATTCAATATACATTTGATCGTCCTTCTCAAGGCCCTCGCAAAGTCACGATGAACGTGGCAACGTGGAAGTCTCTCACACCTACTGACCAGAAAGCTGGGATACACTATCCGATGCATGATGGAAAGAAGAAAATCTTGGAATACGCAACCGATCGTGCGAAACGAAACACACAACCGAATTAATCTGGCTCACGCAATTTTGGATTCCGACGCGACACACGCTCAGCAATCGTACATGACGTCATTGAGGAATCCCGGATCTTTGAACCCGATCACGATGATAAGCCAGCCCTGGAAGTTTCGTCTCACACCAAGGATGAGAAGACGAACAAAGCATCTTCGGACACGGATCTTTTGCATCTCGCTACACATGTTGTACAAGAATCAACTACTGTACCCGACCTTCTGTCAGGCAACATTGCCAATGTTCTATCTCAACCTTCGTCTCGCAACATTTCCTTTAGCAATGAAGTACGATACTTGATGAACTTGACTGATCGGCATACCAATCATACTCTCATGAGATGCATGCCGACGACATTGATGACGGATTCAAGACTGATAGTGAAGACGATGCTGCATCACAGCTATCCCTGAAGCTCGACACCGATTACTGGGATGAGTCCATTCCATTTGATCCCAACGCATTCGGATCCCCGACCTTGGCTCAGTTCGATCCAATGGCTGTCGCCCCAGTACCAAGGTACCCGACGTACACCTCCAACACCACAGACAGCTTCCGTGAACCCCCAGCTAGTGAATACAACTACTACCGAACCCTCACCTGCTGGAACTGATGCCATCCGTACTCACATGAACCCTCCATTTCACCAAGTACAAGTCCCTGTTCCCATGAAGCAGCGACTCTCGGTGCAACTCGACACCGCCGCGGATGCAACTACCGTCCTCAGTGATCCCGACGCATATCCCTCCGGTGATGAGCAGCACTTCCCAACTGATGATGAACGTTCCTTGGAGCCCACGATACCTTCAAACCTGAAGTCTCCACCTCCTGTACAACCGTCTGCCGACAATGACGACGAACCCGACATCGAGGAATTTCTCAGCGATCATGAATACGACGACGAATACACCGAAAGCGATGTCCCCGCTCTGACACCCCGCGCGTCTCGCCTCTACTCTGCCACGGACAATGATGATGATGCCTTTGATACTGCGATTCACAGCAACCGTACCATCCTCCAAGAAGCGCTGGCTGAACAGGCAGCATTGAACCTCCGCGCGAAATCTGTCAACACTACTGATTCCGCTCATGACATTTCTCCAGACAAGCCTGCTGCGAAATCTCCGACAGAAGTCCAGACATTGACGGTTGCCTCGGTCAACTCCTTTGAGACCCAGGCCGACACATCTCCTGTCGAGCTATCCAGCTCTCCTCCCGCGACTCCCAAGATTGCGAATACGCAACCGGATGCCGCCGACGACGACTTCAATCTCGCCTACATGATCCCCGACACTAGTGCAATGCCTTCCCTTGTTACTCGTGCCATGCCAGGATCATCCATGACACAACGCAAGACTCGCCAGCGTCCTAACCTCCATGTTGACCCCAACATCGTTGCGGATGCCAAAGGCGAGATTCCCCAACCATCATGGAACCAAGTCACCTCCAAGAAGAAAGGGAACAAGAAGACACGGAAGAAGAAGAAGAAAGCTACCTGCCCTTCTACCAGTAACATCTGTACCGAACTGTTCTCTCCCAGCAATAAGGAATCTGACTCTTCCTCCTCTTCTCCCTCCTCTTCCGAGAATTCCAACTCCAAACCCTCTCCTTCACAGGGTTTTGCCTGGGACGGACCCGTACTCCTCGTACGGCTCTGCAGGCCATCTCACAAAGGGTAAATGAAATATTCATCGGGACATACGACCAGGCCACTACGGCAGTGTCTTCCGTTCCTTATGGCCAACCGCGCGCCATATACCGCTACACCGTGAACACCAACATTGTCCGCAAGACTGGTTGAGGTTCGCTCATGGATTGCAGTGCCAATGGTGGCATCCTTGGTTCGGATGCTCGCGTCACTGTCACCCATCAACGGCAAGTTGATGTCACGGGAATCGACAATCATGAGATCAATGGTCCCAAGATCGTTGATGGCGCTGCGAAACTCACCACTCAGAAGGGTATGCTTATCATGGAGTCAACCGCACCATCCATTCTGCCGGCCAGTTCGAACACTACCACAACATCGTGGAGGATCGATCCTTCCGCGTTGGAGGCCGCCAGTGCATACGTACCAATGATGGCTGCATTCTGCCGCTCGACTTCGTCAACGGACTGCCGTATCTCCGCATGCACCCACCTACCGACGACAAACTCGTGCAACTTCCAAACGTCATCCTTACTTCTGGAGCACAATGGAACCCTAAAGTCCTTGACTACCGTCATTCTGATCATGATGATTGGTACAACTGCATCATGTTGGAATCTGATGACACACCTGTGACTTCTTTTGATTCTACCGGATCTTACCGTCACCGTACCCCTCATCAGGACATCAATCCTGAACACACTACCCCTGTTGACGAGGATCCCCTCCGTATCAATCGAACACAGTTCCTTCAGTCTTTCCGCATCTCGTCGAACCTTAATCAGGTCTACGCATGCTTCGATGCCGATGTTACCAACACCGATGAGACTACCGTCCCCACCATTGTCATCCCTCCCGTTGAAGTTGCACCCAAACGTATTGATTACTCTCAGTACCTCCCGTTCTTTCTCCATGTACCTGTGGACAAGATACGTCGTACCTTCGAAACCACAACACAGAATGCTCAGAACGTCATGTCAGGACATCACATTCAGCAGACTATTCGTTCTCCCTTTCCGGCACACAATGTGTGGCGCAGAAACGAACCTGTCGCTACCAACACCATTACTGCTGCCGTTCCTGCCATTTGTTGTGGACATAAGTATGCACAGATTTTCGTTGGTCGGAAATCGCTTGTCATCGATGTATTCGGGATGTCTACCTCCTCACAGTTTGTCAACACCTTGGAGGACGTCATCCGAACAAGGGGAGCAATGGACACGCTTATCTCCGACAGTGCAGCATTGGAATCTCAGACCGTGTCAAAGAACTTTTGCGCGCACTCTGCATCGATTCTTGGCAGAGCGAATGTAACTACCAACATCAAAACTTTGCGGAACACCGTTGGAAACACGCCAAACGCAACCTGCAATGGATCATGAATCACCGCAACGTGGACAGTGAAGCATGGCTACTGTGTCTGGAATGGGTCAGCGGCGTCATGAACCTCACAGCAGAGAAATCCATCGGATGGAGAACACCACTGGAAGTACTCACTGGCCAGACACAAGATATCAGCATACTACTGTCGTTCCTGTTCTGGGATGTTGTCTATGTACCATGGTACCACGGCAAACACTACTCCAACATGCCAGGGGAGCAAAAGTCCTCTGAAACACGAGGCCGCTTTGTTGGCTTCGCAAAACACATTGGACATGCCGTTACCTTCAAGATACTCACGGACAATACACGTCGTATCATCCATCGATCACGAGTCCGACTCGCGAAGGAAGGTGTGAACAACCTCAAACTCGATGTGGAAGCACGTGCCGTTCCCGAATGCATCTACGTGAGCTCGAAGCGAGACAATGATGGCGAAGACACAAGACTTCCCACAATCGACATGAGCCAAAGTCCATTCGACATCCCGCCAACGGAAGAAGGGGAGCAAGAAGAAATTCCCCCTAATCCTCCATCGCCTATGGACCAACCTCCATTATCCCAACAACCGGAAGTGGAGACTGTCAATGAAGACGACAAGAACCTAGCGGATCATGTCAAAGACCGACGGCAACCAGGGGAGCCGAACCCTAATGACGACCCACTAGACCTCAAGTTCGACTTCATGCACACGGAGAACCCAACCGTTGAAGGACTTCCACCGGAAGAAATGTTGGACCGTACCTTCCTCATGCCTCCCGCAGAGGATGGCACTCGAGCCAAAATCATTGAGCGAGTCAACCAACACAAAGAACAAGTCCAACAACACCCGGACATGATACGGTTCAAGTGTCTCGTCAACGACGAGTACGAAGAAGTGGTTGCCTACAATGATGTCATGGACTACATCGAACAGGACCAAACATGGGATGGGGTCTGGAAGTTCCGACAGATACTGGATCACCAAGGACCTTTACTCCCATCTGATAAAAGATACAAAGGATCGCGATACAACCTTCAAGTAGAGTGGGAGACAGGGGAGATCACCTGGGAACCTCTTACCAAGAAGGACAAAAGCAGTGTCTATGACTCAGACCCTGTTACGGTGGCCATCTACGCAGCAGAGAAAGGACTGCTCGATACACCAGGGTGGAAACTACCTGGACTCAAGAAATGACCCAAGACCCAGAAACGAATCATCCGACTCGCCAACCAAGCGAAACTACACTCGTTCCGAACCAAACCCGTGTACATGTACGGATTCCTCGTGCCACACAACCATGAACAAGCTATGGAGCTCGATGCACTCAACGGCAACACCAAGTGGAAAGACGCTGAAGAGAAGGAGCTATCACAAATCGATGAGTATGAAACATTCCTGAACAAGGGGAGAGGATACAATCCTGGACCCGACTGGAAGAAGATACGAGTTCACATCATCTATGCTGTCAAGCACGATGGACGCCACTGCGACAATACCATTGTGGATTGATTAATCTAACGATCTAAGAGATGTAAAGTTTGTATTTCCAAATAAGTGAGCAGTTATTGATTATTTTCTAGAATAGGCCCGCAATTTATAAAGCTGTAAAGCTGAATTGTAAGCTGTATCCCGTCGCACTCCCTTACAGCTGAAATGAAGCTGCAGCAAGAAACGATAGGAGAGAGTCCCCAGCAACGTGCTGAGGTAGATTACCATCCCATGAGGAGCTTCCGAATGACTGCAAACTGTGGAGCTGGCAGACCCTTAGTGAAGATGTCGGCCCGTTGTTCTAGAGTCGGAATGTACTTGGCTACGATGCCCTTCAACTCCCCGATATTCGACCTAAAGAAGTGGTACTTCAATGCCAAATACTTGTTGCGGGCTGACATCTTGGGAACAATAACAAGAGACAGGCAACCTTGGTTGTCTTCGAATACTGTAGAGCGCACGAGACTGTCAGTAATTACGGGCATATGCAGTTTGTTACCAATTTCCTTGAGCAGGGCTCGAATAGGAAGCAGCTCCCTCATGGACATGCTGAAGGCAACATATTCAGCAGCAGTGGAGCTCAGAGTAATGTCAGTCTGCAGTTTGCTGGACCAAATGACAGGGCATCCAAACAAAGTCAAGACAAAACCAGTGCGAGACTTGACCGAAACAGGATCCTGATCATCCTCATATCCATACAACCCTGCGAAGTCAGCGTCCACCCAACAGTCAAGCCCTTGATCAAGCTTAGGGCTGAAACAAATGCCTTTGTCACTTGTGCCAATTAAATATCGAACGATACGTTTGATGGCTTGAGCGTGTGAGTGCTTGGGGTTGTGGCTGAATCTTGCCACCTGATGTACACTAAAAGTGATGTCTGGGCGAGTGTTGGATGCAATGTAGAGCAGCATCCCAACTGCAGCTGGATAGCTCCACTCTTCATCAAACGGGGCACCAAGTTTGTCAGCGCCAAGAGGATCGGTGGCAGCAGGGGACGGCTTAGAGCTAGCTTCAGACATTCCAGTGTATCCAATAACCTTGTTGATAAGCCCCTTTTGAGTCAATTCCACGTTGTCTCCCTGTCTTTCAAAGTTGATACCAAGGAACCCAAAGATGTCTCCCTTTTCTTCCATGGTGAGGTCATATCCAAGCTTCTGGAGCTGCCCAACATAGGACTCAATTAGATCATTGTCCGGACTGAGCCAGATTTGGTCATCACAATAATTTAATACCATGAGTTGATGCTCCTTATGAATAAATAAACAAGGATCTGCTGCTGAGGTTTCGAAACCAAGTTGGACCATCCCACGACATAGATGCTCATAGAATAATTTGGGTGAATCAGTCTGCCCATAAATGGACTTGTCAAGTTTCAAAACACAGTCCTGTCCTTCATAATCTTTGGGTCGATAGTACTGAGGCAGTTCCATGTACAATGGCTGGTCGGCAGGCTGAGGACTCTGACAGAAAGCAAGAGTAAAATCAACTTGTCTCGATTCCCATCCATGTGCAGCTGCAAGAAGAAGACCGGCTCTAACAGTGGGCCAACCAACGAGTGGAGAGTATGCGGTGCCTTCGTAGGACTGAAGGTCACCTCTGCAGCACCATCTAGATTTGAACTTGTTCAATTGGCCATCTGGTAACCTCTTGATTCGTTGTACCCATGTTCCCGGAACTGCCTTGAGGTGTGAGGGCATTGAAGAACGTTGTACGATGTGCCAAGTCCCTTTGCCTTCAAGGCTGGCAATTTCTTTGTCCATTGCTGCCCAGAAGTGGTCCGCATGTGGTCCCATCAGAGATTCCTTCAGAGATGGGAGATCAGGGTCTCTGGAAGTTTTGGCCTTGAGAGCCAGTGGGCTTTGAAGAATGCCAGGATGGAACGATTCCTGGGTGTTGGTCAAGGGTGAATATCCAGTTACCTGAGCTTGCAGCATGTGCCCTGAAATTGGAGTGATTCCAAAGGTCATAGCTAAAGCACAACTGAGCAGGGATGAAGGGCGTGCATAAGTCTTCAGTTTTGGGTCCATGTTCAGAATCTCAGGCTTCTTGTTGTGAGCTGTCCTACTGGGATTCCGACGTGGGGCAGCGACAGGGATTGCCTCGATGGGAACATCTGTGGTGGGAGTGCTGACGATGAGAGGCTCCCTTGTCCAAGACGAAGGCAACTGTTGTGTCTGAAGCAATGGTAGACGGTCTGGAATCTCCCTGTGTGGAACCTGGGGCTGTGCTGGAGATGGAGCTTGAAAACGAAGATCATCCCTTTTGTCTTTGCTCTTGTCATCCTGCCATAACTTTCTCCCTTGTCGAAGCTTCTGAAGATGAGATCGGTGCTGGTTGATGGCCTTTTCCTCTGGAGTAAGCCACTCGTCTGCTAAGGGAGGTGGAGTGTCCTCATCAAAGAGGGTCTCGAAGCGCTGGAAGATGCACATGTTGGTCCATTCTGGAGGTGGTTGATCTTCTGAAGAGTAAACTGTTTCAAACCAATCATCATAGACAAGATGGTACTGGGGCGAAAGGTATCCGGTTGTGAGGTTGCGGATCAACCCAATATTTTCTGAATGGACAGGTGAGGTGCCAACATATTGACCTCTCCTGGACCTGGGCTGCCATTTTGGAATCTTTCCTCCTTCACTGGTAAGCCGAG